TGTCACTGTAATTTTATTTTTCCTGCTTGTACAAAAATTACTACATCAACATTAACTAGTTATCTACCATTTTACATATCAATTAAGAGCCAAACAACTGGTACACCAGTTACTGTTCCTATATCATTGTTCATCAAACACAAATATGATATTAATTCTTATGTGAGTCTTTATATTGCAGCTTTACCAACTAAAGACACAATGCTGACAAAAAATATTATTTTGTATTTGATTTTAATACTTCAAAGGCTTCAAGATACACATGACATTAAAAAAAAAATGTAAACTCTTCAAAAAACATAATACATTACACTGATACATCAAATTATTCAAATTATCCTTTGTGTAAGTACATTTCTTTTGAAATCCATAAAATGTAAGTCATTTAAATATCCAAATATTCTACAATAATGACTAATATTACTACATTATCAAAATCTCATTCGAGTTCCAGCATTCGCAAGCTGGATATCATACAATAAAAAATAAATATTTTGGTTGAAAACCTACTAAACTTCAAAGAAGTTCAGTAAAAAAGGAAAAAACTCTCATTCAGGAATGCATCATGCTTACCATGTGTAGCTGTATATACTGTACAATACATAAACTAGTATTTACTTGTATCTGGTAACAAATTGCCAGATTTAGTTAATATTGTCTTTAATTAACATCTTACATTTCTTTGAATGAAAGCATCATTCATACACATTCACTGTGAAAGAAACACTTACACTATACTTCCATATATAAAAATACAGGGCATATAAAATGCATGAATACACTGAATAACATACAAGGCATTAAAAGTTTCTCATTCTCACACATGCTCATCAATTCATTGTAAGATAATATCCACATTAATGACAAGTGACACAAATATATAAATATACTCAAGTGTTATTTCCTGACCAACTGTGTGATTTACCATTGCCATTATTGCTAGTAATAACTAAGGTGACAATTCTCGATTTGATGTATTTTCTAAATACAAATGCAGTTACAGTTACAACTAAAACATCTTTAAATAATTGTCAAACCTGTAACAAAGTATACAGATTTTACATAGTCATTCATGTAATCGGTCATGGCCTAAATGTGTTACTGAGTGAATATGTAATCAGTGGTGTTATTAATTGACCAGATGGAAAAAAAATTTCATAACACATAATGGGGAAAAAATAACCTTCTAAGACATCTACTTTACAAAAGACTCTTTTCCTGTTGTCTAACCCTTGAAATCTAACACTTAGTTTATTCAGAAGATGACTGCTTACTAGATGTGCATTAATAAATTTTCTAGAATCCACATTCTGTGTAACATATTCAACAGTCATGTACAGATACATTTTTTTGTGAAAAAACGCTTCATCATCAAGTAAACATGTAATACTTTTACATATCAGGAGCTGAAATTCAAACAGACCAAACATGAACCATCTCTGAACCACCAATAGAATATTTCTCTGGCAATGCCAAGAAACCCAATCCTTCTGTCTCCCATTCCCATGACCTACAGATGTGTCTGTATGAACTCAGCTGAGTCCTCGTTTCATAGATGCTCCGTCAGGCGCTCACTCCATCTCCTCCTGAAGGGGCGGAGAGCCACCATCACAGGCACAAGGATTCCCAGGGCAGCCAGTGCAGCGGCTTGGGTGTTGATGATGATGGCTTCGTTTCCCATCAGCGAGTAAGTGAAATTCTTGGTCTCAGGATCCCTGTGTGTCATGGCAAGGCCTTGGGTTAGTAAAATATAGCCCTGCATCATGCACCTTTTGGTAAAAGAAGTTACAGCTGCTCTCACTTGTAGCTATATGGAGACCCATGCACCCACGTGTTAGCCATAACATGAAAGATTAACAGATTAACATATTAAGAATAGGACTGCATGGAGTCTGAAACTGTAAGAAATACTGATATTTTCTTTTATAATGCTCTGCTGAATGGTTTACCTCCAGAGACAGTGGTTTCATGGCATTCAAAAAATGATAATAATAATGTAATGCCACATATATCTCTTAACATCTCACTGTCTTCACAGATTTTAACAAACTACTTTTTGTCATGCAACCAATGCAAGGCTTATGAAACTACATGTTAATCACTAAGAGAATTAAAGAGAGAGGTTAGGTTCTTGCTATTTACTCACAGTTTCCTGAGGTTGTAACTTATCTCTATAAGGAAATAAAATGTATCTATGATGGGAATTCATGCCAAATGCATTATCTTCTAATAGTTAAACATCAGCACTGTAAAAACTGCATAGTTCTAATCCCTTATACATGATGCAATTTCTTTCCACTGGCTTTGGAGGTAGCTGATGCACATATAAGACATAAATCATTAGTAGAAAGATGCATTGAAATGTTGCATTTGCCTGAAATAAAGCTTGAGATTAGCTATAGAAACTTAGAAATGAGAGGGAAAGAGTGTTAACAAAAAGCATGCACATTTAGAGATTAGTCCCATGTAGTTATGTTTCGCGTTTCACCATGTCTTTTCTCGGTTATGAAGCAGTCAAGTCTAGTCTTTGTGATGGTTTTGCTCTCGAGTCCAAAGCTATGTTCTGCCAGCTACCCACCAAAAAAAGATATTTACAGATTGTTTTCTAAAAACCTGTTGCATTTTAAATTATGGTCTTAAAGTATGATCTTAAATTAGTTTAATAATGCCTATTGATTTTCCTAAAAAAAAAATAATAATAAAAAAATAAAAAATAAATAAAAAAAAATAAAAATAAAAATTACACTGATTCATTTGCTTTTCTTATTTCAACCTAACAATTTGTTGATTTTGTATCATATATTACAACCTTTTCAGAGATGATTTAAATCTATAACAATTCACAGCTGAACTATTATCTCACTTGAGTGGAAATCAAAATTGCATTAGAAGAATATAATATTCATTGTGAATATATTTTCAGATATTCTGTACCAAATATAACAAATAATTCTGACAATAAAATCATATTATATGAAAAATGCCATTATTGTATTCCTTTTCAAAACAATGTCACAATCAGATTCCTTTAACACTGAGTATTGTTATACCATCAGATCAATCTTGTCATTACAAAAAAAGAAAAAAGAAAGAAAGAAAGAAAAAAAAAATCAATATCTAACCTACATGCTATCCTATACAGTGGAAAAATAATATAAAAAAGGCAGAGCGACCGGCCTCACATTGCCTTTTACATCTGGTCCCTATAGTAATATGTTTTCTGTGTCATGACATAATGAGAGTTGGACGGAGGATCAACAATGGCCACGGGGTGGCTGGCGCGGGCATATCTGCTGGAGTATAGGAGAAATCCCATCAGAATTGCCAAACCCGCTAGACAAGCAGCCTGCGCGTTGACAACCCAGGCCTCGTCTGGAAGTTGGGCGTATAGGCCATTGCTATGCAAGAAAAAAAAGGGAGAGAAAAAAGGTATATCCAATCAGTTTACCTTTACTTTTTATCTGCTTTTCTATTTTTTGGAGGGTTATAATTGTGTCCTGAAATTTAGAGGTGCTGTTCTTGTTCAGAGGGACGTGAATCAGGATTACAACAGAGGGACACTATACAGAGCAATGTGATGTGACAAATGGAAAGGGGAGAAAGAACATATGAGAAATGTAATTATGGGAAACTATGTTTCAGACAGCTCAGACAGAATGATACATACATACATACATACATACATCACACACACATATATATATATATATATATATATATATATATATATATATATATATATGTATATATATATATATATATATATATGTATATACATATACATATACATATATATACATACATATACATATACATATACATATACATACATACACATACACACACACACACACACACACACACACACACACACACACACACACACACACAACACACACACACACACACACACACACACACACACACACACACACACACACACACATGCAAGCACGCACACAGATACTCATACACACATACTCACTCACACAAATACAAACACACACAGATTTCTTTGCTGTGAAAACTACAGCTACTGTCAACTACTATACAACACAATTCAAATCTGCCATTGTGCATAAACATGCAAAGCAGTGTTGCACTTCAAGATAAAATATGAAAAGAAATATACCACACTCCACACATAAGTTACATGTTGACTACATTACTTTCTTGAAAAGAACAGCAAAAGACCAAGGAGTTTTGTCGCTTGAACTTTACCCAATGCCAATGAGAACATGTAATGTCCACTATAGCTTTCTTTTACAAACTGTGTTTTTACATAAATGGCTTTACAAGGACTCAGCTACCATGAAGTGAATGGGTAGGTCTCTGCGGCCCCACCTGATTTCCTCTTTCGTTGGATTGTCAAGAAAAAATGTATTTTTTTCTTATTTTACTAACATTGATACTGTTTTTATCATTAATGAAATTATGAATATCACAATGTTATTGACAATACTAATAGCAATAAAAAAGTGAAAATCTGGAGAGAATGGCAGAACTAATGATTGCCTCATTGGTGACTAAGCACTCATAGAGCCATCCATGTGTAAAAACAATAAACTAAAATCACTGTGGACAAGGGATAAACTACCTGTCGGCATGGGTTAAGCAGCGGAAAAGATACAAGGTACATTTTACAACTACTGCACACATTCTATTTCAAACCTCACTCTGCTTCAAACTCAAACAACAAATTGAAGGCAAACAAAAGCTGGGTAACTTGGCTTATTATCATATAGTACAATTTTCTTTTTAAACCTCATACTTTGTACATCAATATGGTTAAGTCCTGAAAAATGTAATCAATATCAAAGGGCACACAATCCAAAAAATAAAAGTCAAAACAGTGAACATAATCTCTGATGCATCTGGGAATTGTAAACTTACCCTTCAAATTCCTCATTACTCAGTGTTGCAGTAAGATACAAGAAAATGTGTATCAGTTTCTATCAGCATCAAAAGTACATGTAACTCATCCTTAACAATATCTACCTAAAGAGAAGTGGTTTCAGGGTTTCCTATTTTATTATTTCTTCACACCCACTCATCTCTTCCCTTTTTGCTTTGTGATTTCTCTTTCTCTGACGCATTTCCCGGGACTCGAATGTGTAAAATGAGAAACATGACGATGGCTAAACCACCGAGAGCCATTGCTTGTGTGTTTATTATAATAGCTTCATTTGGGAGTGAGATATAGGCAAATCTGTGACAGGGAAATCAAACATTGTTTGTATCAATCTTTAAGATGCAGAAAGTTGTTTATATAGCTAAATAAATATACTTAAAGTATATCAAAATATTTGTAAAAATGTATGATTTGTAAATCTTCATTATGAATTTTGATATATACTCAGCATTGATATTCTGACTAGAATATATTTTCTTTGAATGTGACTTGGAACTTTCTCCAGTTAAGAGGCATGCATGATGTAGAAAATTCTTCACAAAATTATTTATCATTCATATTCACAAACATAATGCCAATACTCTTATTGACTGCAATACTTACATTTCATAGTAATCTTGAAAAATCTGATAGCTAAATACAAAAGAGATCACACGTGAATTTCCATGAAACTCGGAGATTAAGAACGAAAGTCACGTCCCTTTGTCTATTTAAATAATAGGCAATGAAAAATGGCACGATGATGAAAAGCTATATAAAAACAAATTGAAATCATTTCTTCTTTTTGTAGGGTGAGGAGTTTGAGAAATGGGCAAACCTCTCACAAAATTTATGAAACAAAAAAAATTGTAATCTTGTTTGCTTTACCTGTTGTTTCTCTGGCTTCTTTATTCTCACAATTATCATCTAGATGGGTGTCATAAATTATGGTAATATCTGTTTTTGCCTCTTCAAACTTTATCACATCTGAATTGAAATTTGTGGTTTTAAACAGTTTAAACAATAATTACTTGTCTTGTTCATATTGCTTGCTCTATAGAATATGTCATCTTTGTTACATACTATTCACTTTAATCAAATATTTTTATTTTCTTAAATACTTTTTCATCTAATTTTCTATTTACTTAAATCACAGAAAACTAAAAAATGCCTTAGCTTATCTCACTTCAGTAGTGCAGTATGCCATTATGTCAAATTTCCACATCAAAATCAACTCAAAATATTGTGAAGATATGATTCCCCTTTCTAAGCATAACCATGTAACTCAAAACATTTAAGAGGTAGAAGTTGTTGCAGACCACTGGTTCATGCTTAATTGAGCATCAAATCCAATATTTGGCAATAGTTTCCTGTGGCCTTGTTCTTTCATCTTAAGAAAGTACCTGAACAGCTCGTCTACATTGTATTGCATCCTGTATCCCTGATTTGTTCACAGTATGTATCCTTGCATCATCGCTGACCATTTTATTAGTTTTATCTTGTCACTGATGTCCATAGTGCCATAGTATATTTGACTTTTTCTTAACCAAAATGTATTACCATATATTTATTTTTCAAGATATGTGTACGTAAGAAACAATGCCTTGACATTATTCTCACAACTCTAAAGTACAGAAATGTTATCTATCAAATATGTAAAAAATTAAAATAAAACCAAACAGGACCTTACCTCATCACAAAGAAGGCTTTCTCTGTATATCCAGTGACGCATGTTGCGATGGCTAGCATGAAGGTGATGATGCCGAAGGTGGCGTGGACAGGGACCAAGCCTGATCGGAAGCTGGCTGTCCCTTGCTCACAGCAGAGCAGGAGCCAGAAACTGAAGAACCCCACGACCAGCTGTTGGTGAAAAGGGTTTGGGTGCTGCTGTGGAGCTTTAACACTCCTAAGTAGGGTCAGCAGAAACTAAACTGATATGTTGTAGTTTCTGGAGATGATGTTGGTATAACTTTATTTGAAATGAAACTGTATTATGTAGCAATGAAATTAAAAGAGCGTAGTTTTTTTTATGTCTTATTTAGTTTTCATCAAAGTTATAATATGCTTCTTCAAATCAGCACAAAAGCATCCAGATTGTGCCAAAGCTTTCATAACACATACTTACATATATATATATATATAAACAGGACAGATAAAACGGTTTAAGAACAGCCAAGTGTTATCACCGAGGCCGACTACAAGACTAAGCCACCGCCTCGGCACCCATAGTGTTTCTGGTTTATGATAAAGTGTTGTTCAGTTTTTCTGTTATGCTGGTTAAGCTCTCTCTGCATCATTAGTTTTTTCCAGCCTCTACGCAGGAAGAGAACATGCTCATTTCCTAGTCTGTGTTTGATGTTTAGCTCATGCCTAATGGCCAACTAAATTCATGCCCACTCTTTACCCTATGGAGCCCATGCAAAACATTTTTCCCCATACAGTATAATCTAATTTCCATTTTTGGTTTGAAGATCATGCTTCTAACTCAAAGCTGATAGTTGTGTGTTTGTCAAACATGTATGTGTATATATACCATAAAAAGGAATATTTTCCCATTAGAAACATGCTTAACAAAGAAATAAGACAAGGATCTTTTATTCTTTAAGACA